TGATGGAGTCCTTCTAATATTGTAGAGTATTGTATAGTACGTCAGTGACAAGAATGGAATGAGACTGTTTAAAATAAGCACTAAAAAATGGAAAGATTCAACAAGTATTTTGGACATAATTAATATTTTACAATGCAATAAAACCAGTCATCTAAAAAATTATAGCAACTTACTCAGCTAATATTTTAATATTTTTTCTTATGTTGCTCAATATTGCCATTGAATAAATTGAGATGCCTCTTGACTCTTGAGTGATAAACCATTAACAGTAATAATATTCCTATTACAATTATACAATTATTGATTAATATAAAGATTAAATTAAATGCCATACCTTTCCATATAATTTTCAAATTGGTTTCAGAAGTTGAAGATAACTGACGATACTCCAGAGATGTGTAAAACTGCTGGCCCTAACAAAAATAATAACAATTAAATTCTCTTCCACTCTCTCCCTTTCTCTTTTATTGTATTTTCTTAACATAAAAAGCTGAAACTAATAAAGAACTTCACTTTTAATCAATTTACAATTTTGCTAAGATTTGCAAAATTAAAATTCCCAAACATATACACATACAACACGGTAAAAGATAGCTGAATGCTTTAAAATTAAATCCATACAAAATGATTTTTGGGTAGATCAGTCAAAGTCTAATCCCTCTAAAATTTCTAGTCATAATCAGGTACTTACCACTTCAATGATATCCTCTTGATCACAAGAATGACAAAGAGTCAGAATGACAAAGAGTCAGAAAGACTGATATCATATTGCTAAGACCTTCACTGGACAATTCTAATACTTTCTTACGCAAAATCTTTGAATAAATCCTAAAAAGTTAAAACAAGAATAATAATAATACATGTTTCTTGACTACATGTACATGCAATTAAAGGTACCTGGTTTTGAGCTGTCTCCATATCTGGCTGCCGTGGGTGCGGTCAATCAAACACTTGGACAACAAATTAAGAAATAATTCAAAACTAGTTCCACAGAGAACTGAACTAAAGAAAAAGAGTATATTAAAACTCTTTTATATTATTGTTTTGTAACACAATAATAATGACAAAGTACAAAAGTATGCCAAGGACAAGTTATAGACCATGGGCTTTCTAAAAAAAATGCCTCCAGAGTCACTCCCAATTCTTATTACATTTTCTGATACATATTAATGTCCTTCTGCTATGTAGAAAGTGTAAACTGATTCTGACAAGAAATTCGGGAGTTATGGCCTTTTAAAAAACAGGCCAATTTCTGAACAATACCCTGTTCTATGGTTACAACTCCCCTTGTATTGGTACATTGCAATCCGTTTCTAAGGCATTCCATGGCCTAAAACAATCAGAGCAATTTAAAGTATTGCATTTTCTTACTCAAAAAGAGGAATGGGCTCCAGAGTGCCTCCAGAACAATTTATCAGCTGGAACAGTACTAACAATTTCAAGAGATGGTGTACCTATGGTTTTTTTATAAAATTGACTCCAAAATTATTCTCCGTTTTAATAAAATTTTACTGATACATGTTGATGTCCTTATGCTATGTAGAAGTTTGAGCAAATTTTAATGAGAATTTTTTGAATTATTGACATGTTAAAGACAATATTGTGAACAATAATACTTATTGTTAAACAATTCAATTTCTATATGAAACCAAGCCCTGGCTTCCACGCATGTACTACCAATCAATCCACGTGCAGTCTTGCAAGGATTAAACGCCTACTAATCTCAGCCTGAGCTGAGCTCACTCAGTAATCAGCATACTGTGCTGTGATCTTTTTTGTGTAAGTTACACTTATTTGTATTCTTACTATTTTAAATAATTCATATTTCTTTATCACAGAATGCCTTGTTTCTAACTATACATTTGTACCA